CCCCCCCCCCCGACCTTTTTTTTTCTTTGAGTTGGAATCTCACTCTGTTGCCCAGGCTAGAGTGCAGTTTTGTGCTCATGGCCACCGCAGCAACAACCTTCTGGGCTCTGACGACCCTTCCGCCTCAGCCTTCCAAGTAAGTGGAACTATAGGCATGCACCACCATGCCTGGCTAATATTTCTTGATTTATTGTAGAGACGAGGTCTTACCAAAGTTGTTCAGGCTGGTCTCCAACCCCTGGGCTTAGGCAGTCCTCTTGCCTCAAGCTCCCAAAGTGCTGGGATTACAGGCATGAGACACTGCCCCCAGCCAAATTTTTTGATTTGCTGTAGAGACAGGTCTTACTATGTTGCTGAGGCTGGTCTCAAGCAGCGCTTTCACCTTGACCTCCCAAAGTGCTGGGATTACAGGTGTGAACCACTGCACCTGGCTTCTGTGGTCTTTTTGACTGGCTTATTTCATTTAGCATAATGTTTTCAAGATTCATCCATGTTGTGGCGTGTATTAGTACTTCATTCCTTTTTATGGCTAGCTATCTCCCTGTATGGCTGGCTATACCATATTTTATTTATCTGTTCATCAGTTGATGGATATTTGAATTGTTGTCACTTTCTGGCTATTGTGAGTAGTGCTGCTCGGGACACTGGTGTACAAGTTTGTATGTGGACATAAGTTTTATCTACAAGTGAAATTGCTGGGTGCTGTGGTAAATCTATGCCTAAACGAACAATTTTGAGGCATCCACAAAACAGAGAGGCTGCAGGAAAAGGTGAGATCATTAAGAAAGTGAAGCCTGAAAAGGAAGGAGGTAAGCATTAACTCTTAAGAACATCCATACGTTAGTGATGGGCAGGATCAGATTCTGGGCACAAGGTGACAGACCCAAGGAGCCCATCTTCATTGACAGACCTGCTCTTTTACAGTATTCTTTCCTGTACTTATCTTCCAATGTGCATGTGGTATGACAGCCAAAAACTGGATTGTGTATGTTGTTGGGAAAAAGAAGCTGAACCAAATTAAAATAGAGCACTTCCTACTTATTTTTGGCATAAAATAGCAATTCTACTTTATTGCTGCTAACCCTCACACACTTAGGACACACACAGCCTAAAATCTGAAGCTCCTCTAGAAATATCTTTTTCTATCTGGAGCTAAAGGAAAAAGGGGAAGATTTTAGCTCTAAGAGGGATACACTTCTATTGACATTGTTTATGAAAGCCTCTCACATCAGGAACCTCGTTTGATTTTTACCCTACTTGTGAATACGGTGGTTTATCTTTCCTTGCTACTTTTTTGGATTCAATTTTTAAAATCAGCCCTTTTGTATTACCTAAACTTCATGGACCGGCAGTCTGCTTTCCTGTAATTTCCAACTTAAGTTAGTAGTGTAACTTTACATCCTTTTACCTTTGGGAAGGGTTTCTTCAAACTCATTTTTTCTCTCCCCTTGTTTAGGGTTAGAGAAATCATCAAGAATGAAAGCACAAAGTTGTCTCACTTGGTTAACCAATTTCTGTCTTGGTTAGGTCAAAGAGGGTTTTGTTGTATAAACTGCACATGTTTATTAGACTAAACTGGAAAAGTTACCAGCCAGGAAACTCTGGTCCTGAGTGTGTGTTTTGACTACTTTTATATAATGTAATGTTGCAAACTAATTAAATGTAAATATTTCAGGAAACAGCCCATTTCCACCATCCAGCGCAAGAAATGAAACAGTACAACTCAGTGGAAGCACTCTGGGTATTTTCCCTGTTTCTTCTCAGATAATCATGTAATATTTTAGGCAGGTTACTTTTAACTTCCTCAGGTGTGGTGTTAGGATCTATAACAGGAAGCTGATGGCTGTCCTACTTAGCCCACAGATTCGTGAGAATCAGATGAGTGGTGACTAAAAGCTTCGAATATCTCATGATGCAGGATAAAAATCAGGAAGTATTCTGCTAAAGAGCTGGTTTAGCAGTGTCTTGTGCTAGCCTGGGTAGATAAAGCTCAAGTATTTAATAAGCAGTAAAGTAATGGGATTCCATTCTCTCTCTGTATCCTCTCTCAAAAGAAGAAGTATCGGTATATCAGATTTTTCAGAGTTCCTCAATATATATTCATTCAGCAAATATTTACTGAGTACCTACTAGGCAGCTAGAATATAGCAGTGAACAGAATGGGTAAGGTTCGTGCGCTGAAAACAAGTAGAAAACCATCTTTATTTTCTGATTTACATCAGGCCTGTCCTTGGATACTTAAGCATGTCTTATGTCATCTATGTTTGCTGGCCCTTCAGATTTAAATGGAGAATTGTTCATAAGGCAGTATTTGAACTGAAATTAGACAGGTGCCTATTAAAGGTTAAGGGTATTTACTTTTCCACAAATTCACAATATATTAAGGAGCAATTTTTGGTGCCAGATAATACGGGCATTTGAAGTAAAATTTATTTTCTTCATTTCTTGAGCTGAGACAGTTTTCTTCTACCATGTCAAGGTTTTAAACTTTATCCCTTCCTTTGATTTGTGTCAGGGTGAACCATTTGATGTAAAAGACTTGACTCCATAATCTACATCTGCCCTAATGCTGTCATCTGGAGTAGAGACTCAGCCAGTTCCACTTGATTCCTCCATGTCTGCTGTGGTACAGGAATTATACTCTGAACTCCCAGTAAGTGTCTCCAAAGAGCTTCATGCTGACTCTGAGCCAAGTGCAATTCCAGATATAAAACCTGGAGCCTCAAGCTCTCTTTTAAGTCAGAGCAGGACATTGCCCTTGGAGCTGCAGAGGACTCATGCAGAAAGTTGTGAAGAAACCTGTGAGACCTTGGATCATAGGGGCCAGCCTGGGCGGTGTGGGCTAGTGGACCTCACAGCAGTAGGTTCTGTGGCCTCTGGGATCTTGGATAGGGAAGAAAAAAACAAGAGCATGAAGCTAAAGGTCTTCAGAGAGCAAGGGGACCAGGCGGAAATTATAAGAGGTTCCTGTGAGGAAGCAAAGGAAGACCCACATCAACATTCCTCAGCTACTGAAGAAGAAATCAGCCCAAGTCAGGTAAGAAATGAAACCTTGATTCAGATGAGTTGGGTGTGAATGACAGCTTTCCAGAGCAACACTTCTCATAATAGCTTACAGGTGCTGACAGGGAGCTTATGATTTATTCTTGAGAGATGTCCAAAATGTTGACTTTGATAGGAACTTTCTTCTGATGATCTTTTTTTTTTTTTTTTTTGAGTTGGAGTCTCACTCTGTCGCCCAGACTGGAGTGCAGTGGCCGCTCCCGGCCACCGCAGCCTCGACCTGCTGGGCTCCAGCGATCCTTCCACCTTAGCCTTCCAAGTAGCCGGAATTATAGGCATGCGCTACCACGCCTGGCTGATTTTTTTTTTGATTTATTGTAGAGATGAGGTCTCGCCTGCCCAGGCGGGTCTCGAACCCATGGGCTCAGGCAGTCCACTCACCTCAGCCTCCCAAAGGCACGGGATTACAGGCAGAGCCACCGAGCCTGGCTTAACTTATTTTTTAGTGTATCACAGATGATGGTCTCCAAAGAACTGACACATGCTAACCCACTTTGTGAAAAGCTGAAGTATTAATCAGAAATCCAGTTCTTTAATACACAGGTAGAAGTGGAATCATTACTTGGTAAGAATGGTCACATTGGCTGGTCTTCTCCCTCTAGGCAGGCCTACATGGGGAATAAAAGTTCTCTTTGTGAGCCTGAAGTCAGAGTAAGAAGGGCTAGTTAGATGAGACTAATGGCTAGTGGGCTATAAGCTATAATAGCATGATAGACCAAACTCTTACAGGAGTATACCTGCCAATGGACTAAAAAACTTATTTTCTCCTTTGGGTAGTGCTGTAGAGCAGAGGTCAGCAAAATTTTTCTATAAGGAGCCATATAGTAAATATTTTAAGTGTTGCAGGCCATACGGTCTTTGTTGGAACTACTCAACTTGGCTGTTGTAGTATAAAAGTAGACAAGAGACAGTATATAGATGAATGAGTGTGACTGTATTTCAATAAATACTTACTAGCACAAGTTACTGGCCTAAGGGATGTAGTTTGCCAACCCTTGCTCAAGACCCATTAATAAATTTATGTTATTTGGGCTTCCTAGGATAGGCTCCATTCCCCTCCTGAAAAATACATTATTTCTTTACACAGGCTAAAGGGCAATTAATTGTTGTTAGTAAGCTTCTCACTTGACTATAACTAGGAATTAATGAAGCATTAAATAACAGTTGAATATGATATCAGAGTTTATGTTGTGATGCCCTATACTATACTTTAAAAGTATACTTTTAAACTGTACTTTAAAAGTATAGTTAAATAAGTGAGGTAGAAGATTCAAGATCCAAAAGTTCCAAATATGTGACTTCTTGATACAGTGAATTGAGTCTAACAAAAAAAATTTCTTAATGTAGTATTTGATATGAGTATGTGTAAATATTATTATATATTGTAATATAAATAGTATATTATAAATAATATTATTTATATTATAATAAAGCATAATAAGCAGCACACACATGTATACATATGTATACCACCCAACCTAACAATGAAATTACTATCTCCCTGTTTTTTGTTTGTTTTTTGTTGTTGTTGTTGTTGTTTTGAGTCAGGGTCTTACTCTGTTGCCCAGGCTGGAGTGCAGTGGCATTATCATGACTTACCACAGCCTCAATTTCCTGGGCTAAAGTGAGTCTCCCACCTTAGCCTCATGAGTAACTGGGAGTATTTCCCACCACACCTGGATTTTTTTTTTTAATTTTTGTAGAGACGAGGTCTCACTGTGTTGCCTAGACTTATCTTGAACTCATGGTCTCAAGCGATCCTGCATCAGCCTCCCAAAATGCTAGAATTACAGGTGCAAGCCACCACACCCAGCCATCTCTGGTTTTTGTTTTTGTTTTTGTTTTCAGTCAAAGTCTCACTGTCACCCTGCTGGGCTCAGGTAATTCTTCTACCTCAGCCTTCCAAGTAGTTGGAACTACAGGTGCTCACCACCACACCCGGCTAATTTTTTTATTTATTGTAGAGATGAAGTCTCACCAAGTTGCCCAGGCTGGTCTCGAACCCTGGGACTCAGGCAATCCTCTCGCCTCTACCCCCCAAAATGCTGGGATTACAGGCATGAGCCACCACTCCCGGCCCCCCTGTTCTTTTTAAAAGTCATCCCCAGCCAGGCGCAGTGACTCACTCCTGAAATCCCAACACTTTGAGAGGTGGAGGCGAGAGGATTGCCTGAGCTCAGGGGTTCGAGACCAGCCTGGGCAACTTGGTGAGACCTCATCTCCACAATAAATCAAAAAATAAGC